CTAACTAATAAAACACTCATCATATAATGTATTATTAGAACCGTTCATTTTAAAAAAAAATTAGTAATTTATAAATTTGCTTCATCTGCACTATTTTAGAAGTTTTAAATTTCATAATTAAAATGACAATATATTTTGATGCTATTGTAAGGTTTTTCCAAACTGAAACTGCAATAGTTTTGAAGTGCACCTTACTTCGATTGTTTAAACTTGATGCCTTATATAAACCCCACTCCTTGGGATTTTTGTTTCGAACGATGTGAATCTCATCGAAAATCAAAGGAATCAGAGGATGTTAGAGGCTGGGCGAAGGTGTTAATTTTGTTTACCAATAGACGCGTACGACCATCCCAAAGGCCCTAGGGATGTAACCCCGTGGCCTAGGCCCAGTTGGTTTTGCTCTTAGCTAAGCCTTAAATAGTGAATTGATGCCAAAGAATTCAAACTATTTAATGTTTCAAAAACCGACGTTCCCGATTGGGAATCAGTCATGTGATCATCTAGTTCCCACACCCTTGTTATTATTTTGTCATTTTTTATTTTGATTTTTTTCTTTTTCGGTCCATTTTGCCAATCCAGTCCAATTTTTCCATAATCGTTGGTTTTCCTGGCCCTATCATGCGTCTACTTTGAGGAATCAAAGGCGCATTTTCACGCTTTCTTGCTATTCTAGGGACAAACCAAATGCAACCTAGCTTGAAAATCTATTTCTACCTCTTATTATGAAATTTAATGGTCCAAAAATCATATAAATCAAATAGAAAAATTAAAAGTGAACGTTAAAAACAATGTGTTCTAAGATGCATTATATTGTATACGTCTTGAGGTCGAGATAAACTGTTATATCAAACATTTTTCGATGGGATTATGACTTGTGCTTTACATTTATAAGACGAGGTTGATGCCTCGCATAAACTTTCTCCCAATATTATAATAAATAAAGGGAAAAGTTTATATAGAGCCGAGGAAAAAATGGATTTCAAGTTTTGGAAATAGTGTATTTTGTAACACAATTTTGGACCGTCAATTTTTAAGATTTTCAAGTTTTCATAGATCTATCAATCTACACTATTTTTTTAACTTTAAAATTTATAAATAAATAAATAAATATATCTTAAGGCTATCACAATGATTTTTAATATTAAAACCACATTTCTCAACACTATTTAAAGGTAGGCTCTAATTTGATTGTTTAGAGCCTAAGCTCAATACAAACTACACCCATATATAAATGAGAAAACCTTCCACGTAACCCTACCCAAATGTATATTATATGTAACCCTACCCAAATGTATATTATATGTAACGCCTGATCTCAACCTTCATATCTAAGTAGATGGCTTGAGTCACAATGTCACAAGTTGGCTCTGGAGCATCAGATCTTGATCCAATGGCTTAGAGTGTTTTATTTTAATTTTTATTCCATAAATCATTTGCAGCGGAATTTGGAATATTTATATATCTGACATAAATGATCATTATAAAAATAAGAGTAATGATCCTATAAGACCCTTTTCCACCCATCTGTATAGGACTTTAAAGAATCACTATTAAAATTGACACGAATCTCTATAAAAATTATTACATAAATGTGGGATTGGACTTTTCTATAGATTCGTACCAAATTTAATGATGATCTTTTACAATCCTACACATATGGGTGGAGAAAGATCTTATAGAATCATTTCTCTAAAAATAATACAGCATATGTCATTTGATAAAAATTACCTAATGGTTTTTTACCTTCATAATTTTTTTTTGCTGTGGGGCCCCCACTAAGAAGATGGGCCACCCCAAATTTCAGCCAAATTTTTTTTGTAAAAAATAAGTTAAAATCTAACAATGTCTTAGCATGACATTGTGACATGAACATTCCTAGCCGTAGATTAAGATCGAAAGGCTGAAAAGTGCAATCACATGCAATTTATAAAATGTTGAGGTCACACAAAGCTTTCCCTGCATAAATGTGTATCATCCAAATCATAAAAAAAATAGACATATACAACTCTCTCTCTCTCCCCCCCCTTGACGCACGCACTGAAAACAACACAACAAAGCCATACCTTTTTCTAGGAACGTTTAACAAACAGCCCAACACTATTACTCGCATTTCACTCATTCTCTCCACCCTAACCCACAAACCTCTCTCTCTCTCTCTCGACATGGACATTTTGTTATTTCATTTCATCGAAATTGTACAAAAAATAATCTCTCATACAGACACACACACCACAATGTTCATACAAAAAACATCAAATTCCTAAAATGGTCTTTATTCGATCAGGTGGGTGCCTCAGCATGGACTTTGGATCAGGATACTGGTTCTTAGGATCCGTAATCGCATTGTATATGAGTTCATATGCTTCTGATAAAGCCCTTGCTACAAGCACACATGCTTCTGTTCTCAGTTGAGGGACCTGCATCTGCTCAAACTCAGGAAGAGATCCTTCACTACTGGTCAAGAGCATGAAGAAAGCTCTCAAACATTCGGATATCACAGTTGGCTCCATTCCTTCGACTTCAGCCAAGATCACAATGTCTTCTTTGCCTTCCATTGTATTTGAGTCTCTTATATAGGCCATCTTATCTAACAAACCACATCTCTCAAGAATAAAATTGACCTCTTTATCGACTAGTGCATTGATGTTGACCTTGATCATGTCTTTAAGGTTGCTCACATACTTTGCAGCAACATCAAGTCCTAGCAAAGGTTGTTGAATAGCTGACAAACAATTGATGAGGAAAATCTTGGATGGGCCTTCTGTGTTTCGTATCTGCTGACAATATATAGAGAATCAAAAAATGAGGGTTGGGGGGGGGAGGAGGGGGGGGGGGGTGTAAATACTTCCAACATTTCCACAAAAAGAAAACGAAAATAAAAGAAGGTAAGCAGAAGAGTCTGACTTTCTAAAGGATTAGGCACATTGTGTCCTTGGTATGTCAACACATATCAAGAACCATTGAAAAGCGTGTCCAAGTTAGATAGAGGGCCAATAATTACTAACATAAAGAATCACAAATTCAAGAGGCAGCCACTCTGCACCAACATGATTCTGCTTGTGAAAAGCAAATGATTGTACCAAAGAATACAAGGAACTAAACACATGATTCTGCTTGTGAAAAGCAAATGATTGTACCAAAGAATACAAGGAACTAAACAAGACAGAGATGAACAGGTACTGACCTGGGAAGATGGTACTGACTTATTGTTTCCCAAGAGTGCATCGACCGATGAAGGAGATTTAGTAAGATGACTTGAATCAGAACTCATTCTATGTCTCCTAGATGACTGAATAGCACCTCTGGATTTATGAGACTCCGCAGCTTGCTCACACATCTACAACATTAACGGTAAAATGGATTGACAGAAAAAAATCAGGAAATAGCAAGCATAAACTGCACTATGAGACTACTTTATGTGCCAGTATCTATGCAGTTCACAGTTACAAAACCAAAGAATGGGTCATCACATGGTGGAAAATGAAAAAAACCATGATAGAAAACCTAGCACATAAAAAGAGAGAAAAAATTGAATTATCATGCATTTCAATGCTCCAATCAAAAAGAAGGCTTCAAAGAAGACTATAATACTCAACCCACTTTCCATAATTCAGGTTAATAAAATACAGACATGCAAACTGAACAGTCACAGACTGAAAGTTCTAAGCCCCCACATTGCTATTCAATAATTCACTTCACTTAATTGCTGAACTCCATCAGAGGAATATCCAATATTAGCTTGAATCACAATGCATTGATATCCAAGTTTTAAGATTATTTACAACTTATGCCATGGAATGCGTCGACGAGAAAAGGAATCCATACCAAGGTATCAAATGCACAAATATCCTGTGAAAACTAAATGGTCTCCATCAATAAATATTCTGATATAATGACTTAAAACCAGATACATAAAAAAACAGTTCAATCATTTATAACTGCAAAAACTGGAACTTCGTCGCCAATAATCTATTACATGAGATTGGTAACTGATATCCCCAATTTTCCACAGACACATTCTCCTAAAAAGAAACCTATAACATAGTCACTCCTACAGAAAAAACATCCAATAGCCAAACCCAATAAAAGCAGTTAAGATTGTCCATTATCTGCAATGACGTCATAAGCATCAAACCCAAAGTTCAAATTCAGAATTCAGAAATCTAAGCATCACCTTTTGTTTCTAAAACATTTCTTTTGGACAAGTACCAAAGTTTATGATATAAACATGTGTGTGGTAAAAATCTATGATCTTTTTAACATAGAACTGAATTTGAATTTCCAAAGAGCGTATGGAAAACAAATAAGAAATCAATTCAAATGGAACGCACCATTACTGAGCTTCACCGTGCCAAAAGCATCAGGAAACAATCACTAAAGAAAAGGAGAAATGTACGCATACCTGAACGATAGGGTCCAATAAAGCAGATATGACTGGCTCGAAGTTGGGCTTCTTTCCTGAAGCAGATACCATCATGCTGTTATCTGTATCAATCAATTCAAGCAAAACTGAAACTCCTTCTCTTACAGTAGGCGGAGGGGATAGATCAACTGGTACGAGGGTAGGATATCTCAAGAGCTTGTCCCCTCGTGTTTTCAGAATGTCAAAGAAAGTCTGCTTAGCTGCATCCTTGAGATGCCAAAGCGTATTACAAAGGGCTGTCTCTCTCCCTAGCAAGTCTGCAAACTATTGAAATGAAGAAGCGAGAGAGATAAGAAACTTGCAACATCTCAATGGTTAACCACAAGGAGTATATGGAAACATAGTATAAACCAATAGAGTTCTGGAAACCTCGGTCCATTGGAATCATCACCGCCCAATCATCTCATGGACAGCGGAGGGAGGGTGGAACCCATCATGGGGGGCATGCCTTTGGTGGTGCAACTGTCTCCATCTACCATCCATTATTTTCAATGGGCAGTGATGCCCAACGGACTGTGGCTTTCCATAGTCCATCAAATTGTAGCATACTAATGGATTATATAACATACTGAACCCAAGCACAAACATATATGAACTACTTACGGTGTAACTGTAGAACTCTAGCATGTTAGTGAGTTTATATGACAAAAGAAGGCTGGGTTGAGATTGCAAAACTTGTTCAACTCTCACTTTAAATGGGCGGCACACTCCTTCAAATACTCTATCAAGAACAAATCTTAAGTCAGAATCTCCTTTCATCAAATCAATATCCATGACCTTGGTGAACCGCCGAGCAGTTGGTCCTGTATCAACTATTGCATCCGGATCAAACAGTACAAGTACAAGTTCTCTTTCAGATGCCAAAGCCTTCTCAAAAAGAAAAAGAAATGCAAGTCAGTGCCCCATAATTAAGAATGGAAAATATACCTAGTCCAATAGAGTATACAAAACAATAGTCTAAGGCTACACAAACTGTCCATCTTCATGACAGATCGTTGTATCTTAACTGGGATGTAGCCCCAAGGGGAAATTCGCCCCAGCAGGAGTTAATCTCCAACTGGGGTGTGGCCCCAAGGGGAAATTCGTGCAGGCAGGAGCTTAGCTCCAACCATCTGCCAGTGCGATCAGTGTCGATAAACACTTGTACAGTTTTCCATGGTCCATAAGAATATGGTGTATGTGAGGAATACAATCCATTTAATATAAAAAAGGTAAGTATGCTGACCTGATGTAGCCATCCCAACATATCACCAACATAACGCAAAGGATCATGAGCATGCACTTCAATAGGTCGAGGAAGGCCTCCTGGTCCCCCACGTGTAAGAGCACTTATGAATCTCCTGAATAATGCATTATGCCTCATGTTTGCCACCTGAAGGCATGTTAATATTCAACCTTTTAAACTACTCAAAGCTCAACATTTCCTTTTCAGACATTATTTTTACCACTATTGGATGGTGACTTTGCAGTGTCTATACAAGCATACCTCTTCTGCGCAGTACTTAAAAAGAACAGGCCTCTCCTTCAGGCAGCGAACAGCAGTCTTCAAAAGCTCACTTACTTCCGGATTATCGTTATCACCCAATCTTCTACACTCAGCCTGTACCCATCTGTATTTATGAAGAAAATTGCATACAGCCGCATTTACAGCAACAAAATCGCATTAAGAAATAAGTAGAAAAATTTTAAATTAATATGAATTCTATGAGCAATACTCAATATATTCATTATGAAATGTTTGGCTAGATAACATAGGACCCTACTTCATTAGACATAGACTTTGGCAATAGAGAATGTAAACAATTAAAAAACAACAATACACAAAAGTGAAGGGCAAAGGATAAGCACATAAATTTTCCCAATAACAAAGATTATGAAAACAATCAAAGTGAATTAATGAAAATCAATCAAACTAGAGCAATGTATAGCATTAAGTAAAGAGCTTAAGATAGAAAACAATTTACATATAGGCAACAAGAAGCAATTTTGTGCTACAGATACCACCAAAATGATGTGAATAATCTCTATATTATATTTTATTATTCATCCAAATGGATAAGAAATATTCGAATGCTCTAGGATAATAAAGAAGTTCAAGATCTTGAGAATCCATGGCAAAGTGTAAATATAGCAAGAATTTTAAAAAAATTCACATCAGATTTAAAAGTATTATCAATTTTGACTATTAAAGACATAAACGGTTTCCCATTTGATGAACCCTGAGGATGCAAGCTCATGTGCCATGGTCCCTTCTAAAAACTGGTGCCGTTCATCACCTATGTTCTCCATAACTATCCCACAGGAGATCCTTTCATATATACCATGGGATGAGGAACCCACCCTTCTACCAAGCAACACAAAGGATATAAAAATTGCATTTCCACATAATCAGGTGTACCTCTACTAACAATGTATTAATGCATTTTGATAAGAACAGAAAGAATGTACTGGTAATAAGAACATAAAGATCATTAATAAATAGCATGATAGTCTAACATGTGTTTGTGCATGGCCATCCCCTTGCTAAGAACACACTCAAGAACTGGAAAACCTACAACAAAGCATATCCCTAGAATACCCATAAAACTGCCGTAGAAACTTACCTCAAAGTAACCAACCAAAAAAAAAAAAAGGAATTTTGAATTATAAATGTTTGATAGCTGCTTTCATTATAGGGCACCTAGGGGAAAAAACCAATCACCTAAGGCTTACTTTAGAACTACATTCATTTCACCTGCACAAGCGCTCATAAGCTCCGTCTTGATAAACAGACATCATATCCATAAGTTCCAAACCTGCACGCTGGAAATACAAAATTTGATGTGAATATCAAAATCCATGGGAGAACCAATATTGACATTATAACCAAAGAATTATCTAACAAGAAAAGATCCTGGAGGTTATTTACTCAAGAAGGGTAGAGTTCACGAATTTACTCTACAAAGAGAGAGAACATTATTTTCAATACACAAAACGATTTTATGACCAGTAATAAAACAAAAAACCAGAAAAGACTTTAAAAAATACAAGTACATTTTCTAAAACAAATACAAAGGCATTCAAATCTACGATCATTATTGCTAGCCTATCAGCAAAATCATCTAATCTTAGAAGCCTCAAAACACTCTCAACTCTGAACTCATTCCATTACCTTCATCATAATCCTTCTAAGCCAATGCCCCATTGAGGAAACCATCTCTCTTCGTCAAAGTGTTATTCCAATGAAATTAGCAATAATTTGTTTTGAAATGTAATTAGCAATAATTATACAGGTATTCTAGGTTTAATTTTTGCCAACCGACTTCTTTTTTAGCATTCTGTTTTTTATTTTTTGATTAATCAACCTGTGTTAGAAGCAGGATTCTGCACTCTGGGTGCAAGTTGATGTATGTTGCGATACTCTATTGAAACTAGCAAGAAAAAAGGGGAAATTAACCAAGTACATCAAGGGCTTGTACCAGTATATTGTCCAGAAAGGTCCAATTACAACTTGCATTAGTGTGATAAATATCAACTCACACAGAAAAGGCATTAATCATCACTTCAGCTACACAGAAGAGTCCTAGAGGCTACACAAACATAAATTTGAAATTTCCATGGTTCAGTCACTGGATATACAAATGTTTTTCTCAAATCATGCCAAGAAAACACATTACAAATATGTCATCTACAAAGGAAGAAATGAAATCTAGAGATAAACATGTTTTGCAAACATCATCCCATTGAGTTCTTCAGAATAATGTAATAACCATCATCTAAGGGAATAAAAAGGAACTACCTGGTGATGGGTCCGAAGCAACATTTTGCAATTGGCATGGATTTCTTGAACATGAGCCAGTGCCTTGAAAAAGTTCTCATTCAAGTCTTCCTCTCTCAATGCATTGACCTAAATTCATGGTCACCACCATCAGGTTGGAAATTACAATAACAACAGTTTTTTTAAGAACTTCCAGAACTGAAAACCGAAAGTCCAAGACATCCATGGGCCAACTACAAAAAATTTGATTTAAATAGACAAAATTTGCAATGGGGGACTGAGTAATGGCAACCTCTTCGCTAGATAATTGATAATCTCGAAGAAAACATGATATAATCTCTTGACGTTGTGTGGTATTTTCATGCTCCTGTTTGAGCCTCTCTGTTGTACTAATTATGTCACCTGTAGTTGCATTGCAGCTGTTCAATGCTTTGGCTATCCTGCACAAACAGAAGCCAATTTAGCACTCAAATAATAATGCATTATACATTTCCAAACACCTTTTTTCACTTTTCATAGAAAAACAGAATATTATTGACCCAGTGGCCAATAAGGTAAATGCATGATAAGTTCATATATTTAAGTAGGGTAAAATTCCAGGCTGCATACTTTCTAACGAGATACGTAACCCCAAGTATGAGACAGTGGAGAGAGAAGGAACTCCCCAATTGCCATAATCAACTTGTTTACAATATAATTAACCATGACAGGATGCAAAATTCACTTGAAACATGGAAAGAGTCCACACACAGAACAATGGTACAAATGAGAAATGCTAAGAGAAAATGTCCTTACTTGTCACAACACTCATCCAACACATTAACTTCCTCCTCTACTCTATCCAATGCCTGCATCAAATAAAACAAATCCCACCATTTACACCAAACTTCCCTCTCCAAACAAACATAAAGAATAAAATTAAAAATAAATAAAAGAAGGGGGGAACCCAAATGAAGAAGGGGAATGTTCATACATAACGACAGGATCAAAAACACATCAAATTGTTAAATCAACTCGCAAAAGCAACTACACAAATAGAGGAGGAGATGTTCACGATAAGAACAAGCTTGTTCGATTGGAAAGCTCTCTCCAGAGAGAGCTTTCCCATATGAAAGCTTCGTCACATGGGCAAGTGCTGTCATAACGAATTAAGTACAAAAGTACTTTCTCATGAAAATAAACTAGAGGGGAGTTTTCGGCACACTGTAGCAGTTTCCCAAGTCGTATAAAGTTCAACTCTTTCCCATGAAATAAAAATGGGTAAGCTATGGTCCAAAGGGAAAATTCTCTCCTAAAGACTACTTTCCCGCACAACAAATGTGTGCTAAAAGAATCTCTAAAATGGTAAATACCCCACAAAGAAAATGTTGAATACAAATAGAAAGAAGTTACAATCCTCTTTTATTTTATGGGATTGTATACTATGAGACCATTTATCATTATTACAAGGTGGTCACAATCACTCCTAGCCATTAGATGTCAAATTGGTTAGCTTGATGTATGTTACAAAGTTCAAGATTTTTTTTTTTTGAACTTTAAGTTTAGTCAATGACACACTTGCAATCATCTTATTTAAATTTGACAGGCAAAAGTCATTGTGAGTGACCTCCTTGTACTAAAAGTAAATGGTCTCTTTGTATACTTGTCCTTATTTTATTATTAGGCTTTTCATCATGTAAACCATAAAACATAGAGAAGAGGGATGCAGCTCAAACTCCATGTTCCTAAACCCTACTACTTACTGGTACCACCATGATTAAATACTTATGAGTTCTTACTTGGAACTATGCTGCATTGTTGGATTCTCTGCCTGTACTTGCCAGATTTTTTATGCAATGAATTCTTGCAATTTTTGTGCAGTAGGACACCTATGTCATAATATTTGAATTTTGATTTCACTCAGCAATGCTCGTTATTTTGTTGTGATAGTGAGCATAATGTGTGTGTGCACGTGTATGTGTGTGTGTGTGTCTCCTTTTGTGTGCATATACATAGGCAATTGCTGGAATCACCGAAGACGTTGATATGACCAACCAAAATGCCAACTCATTGGTCATCCAGCCAGTCACCCCTTCCCATATTCTGAAGAAACATTAAAATAATAATTGTGGATTCCTATAAAAGAAAAACTCCCCTCAAATTTTAGAGATTTCCTACCTTGTTCCTTATTCCCGCTTCTCCCCCTCTCTTCTATGACTGCTAAGGAGTGACCTTTGCTTTCTCCTTCTACCTCCTTTCTCTTTTCTATGCTTGCAGAGGTGTTATGCAATGACTGATTGATCACAGTCTTTTTTCTTAACAAACAACAGAATGGTCAGATAAGCTGGCATTTTTGGATGGCCTCATCAATGCCAACGCCTAGCGTGTGTTTATAGTATTTTCTTTTCGGGGGGGGCAGAAGATTTTTATAATTTTTTATAATATCATTAAATTCTATTTCATCATTAGTGGGTTCATTAATAGGGTTATCTTCTAAGGGGTTAGAAACTAATTCTATAATCTGTACTCTATTTTTTAAACTTATTAATTCATTACAAACCTCATTTATCTCATGTCTTAGTTCAGAAAGAGAAGGCTCTTTATTATATTCCTTTTTATTTTCTACTCTTCTGAGGATATCAGCAAAACTATAGTCTTCTCTGGTATGTACGAGAGAAGTAGAAGATTTATTATTTGTCTTAGCTATATGTATGTATTGGACTAAAGCTTCTCGCTTAGTTTCAGGATCAGTTATTTTATCAATTAAGTCTATAATCAGATTCTCTTCTTTAGCAAGGGTATTACAAAAGCATGTAGTTTCAGGATTATCATTATTATAATCAAAGTCTGAACGACTAAAGATTAATTCTTCATCCCTGATTTCTCCTGTTAGCATTTTCATATCAGAATCGGAAGAACTTTCAGAAGATTCTTCATTAATTTGTAATATATCAACAATTGCTCTTTAATATTAATATCTAGTTTTTATCTTTTTCTTAACTCTACATTTATTTTTATAATGTCCTACTTTGCCATAGTTATAACAAACTGGAATTCTCCTTTTTCCCTTATTTCTAAAAGAGGCATTTTTAGGGGAAAATTTTTTAGAAGTTTATCTTTGATAGAGGTTTTATTAAGTCCTGTCCTATTGATATATTTTTTATTTTTAGACCTTTTCTTGCCAGGATCTTTGGAAGAAGGTAGGGTATTAGACCCAAATTGTTCACATAAGTCTCCTAATTCTTTTCTTCCAGTCATCCTTTGTTTTTCTAGCTGTCTTTTTAATTTCAGATCTGTACAGAGAGCAAGGCCTTCTGCACATATTTCCGCAGATAATTCCCCTAGAGTGTATAAAGAATATGGAATAATTCCACTATGTTTATTTTTGAGCCGCGTCTTGACTTTCTCAGCAAAAAGATGAGGCAGACTTGCAATAATTTTTTCTTTCCAATGGTCTGACTTACTGTCTTCTCTAGAAAGGAGTCTAGAGAAAAACACATCTTTATACCACTTGTAATGAGATACTGTCGGGCATCTCAAATTAGAGAGTAGGTCTTCAGACCTAGCGTCAAGCAAAGCAGTACTCCCTACAAAGTGGAGTGTAATTGTATATATAAGAGTATTAACAGCATCACTTTCATTATTTATTATATCCTGACCAAATTCATTTTTGACTGCCCATTGCTTAGTGGCACCTAAAATTTCATTTTTTGTATTTTCGTCCATGTGGTAGTCCCACCATCCTCTTAACCATCCAGTAAATCCACAGATGATAGCTTTAGCTATTTCTTGATCTTGGTTTCCGTTTATTTTGCAGGCAGTTGCATACATGGTCTTATGTTTCATAAGATCAAGAATTTGATTTTCTAACATTCCATCAATATTCCAATTTACTATAGATCTTCCAGAATAGGATATAGAACTTATAATTAAATCTTCCTCAAATTGGAGATCTACAAGAGTAGGCCTAGGATAATACATTCTAGTTTGAGAAACAGGCCTAAATTTCTTTCCATAATCTATTTTATTTATTTCAAGACTTTCTGTTTTGAAAGCTTGTTCCATTTTATCTAGATCATTATTAGAAAAAGGTTCTTCCTGAAGAACCATAGCTCCTTGGTCAGAACTATTTTTAGGAGTTGTCCCCTTTTCTTGGCTAATCTTTTAACTAGCTCATCAACTAAATCTTCATTATTATTTTTCTTCTTTATACCTTGCCGGTATTAAGGGGGATGTTACCCCGCGTAAAAATGTTCCTGAAGCTACTAGGGAGGAAATTATACAATATTTGAGTTCAGGGAAGCACAAAAAGATAGAAAAGGGTAGATCAGCCAAGACTCCTAGGGCCCCATCTGCACATACTAGTAAGAGGGAGGTAGAAGAAGAGGATGAAGAAGAGACAGATTCAGAAGAAACAGAGGAGGACAAATGTTATATTGAAGAGGGAGATAACTCTGATGATGATAGCCTCGATTCTGATGAAATGATGAAGCTTATATCCTATTCCTTCTGATGATCATGATGATTGAAGAGTGAAGACTCTTAGTGTTGACTATTGATTGTTGTGTTGACTGTTGAGTGTTGACTATTGTGTCCTAGACTCTATATTTTCTGAATTTCTGTATATTTTCTTTTTCTTATTTTTAATTTCTAGTTCTACCATTTAACTTTTGTGTGTACAGTCTACAGTGTATCAGACTATCAATGTATGCTTGTATGGATTTACTGTTTTAGCATTGCATGAAAATATGGATTATGGTCTTATGGATTATCAAAATTCTCTTCTTGCCTTCGATCGTTTTTTTTAACTGGGATTATGGTCTTACGGATTATCAAAATTCTTATGGATTATGGTTTTATGGATTATCAAAATTCTTATGGATTATGGTCTTATGGATTATTAAAAATTCTTATGGATTAATCATTATCAGTCATCACTCAACAATTTTTTTTTTTTTCGACTGGGGGCCTTGATCCCCATGGCCGCCTGGGTGCCGCCTAGTGCCTTTTGAAACATTGGTACTAGACACCTAAGACAAGTACCAGACACTTGACACCAATGTTTATATCCAACCCTATAAAAGGGCTGCACACGAATCTCATTACAAAAGCCCCCTTTAATAGTCCCATATTGGCCAAAGTGCCAAATTATGCACAAAAAGACAAGAAAAATAACCATGCAGGTGTTTAAGCATCCATATATTATCCATTTGTCTATCCTTTTATCCACTTCTTCTTGCGACTCTAATGAAGTTGAACAAGAAAAAAGCTCTACAGAAGTTGAAACAAGAAAAATTTAAGAAGAATCAGAATGACTGTAATGTTTTATTGGTCATTGTGGCAGCTTTCAATCATTGATTTAAGATGGAATTGAAATTGTTTGTTTCATGGAGCATGAGAGGAAGGTGGTAGCGCACTTACTAAGCATGTTCATGACGTTATTTATGAGATTTATAAATAAGTACACCAAAAAAAATTTCCTCCTTGATGTCATCACAGGTGGATCATCATATTAATGGTGCTTCACCCGGTAGTGCACATGCAGTGTAAGATATGTGCTTAACATTTAACCTTCATTGGATGGTGCACAGTTTAAACTTGACTAACGAAATTCAAGGTGTACAACTATGAAAAGCTCGACCACTAGTGCAAAGAATTCTCAAGGTTTCAAACAAGAATAAGAATGGTACAATCATTCAAAGTTATGGTGTACAACTTACAATTTGGTGTCAAATCGCACAAGCATGTCAAAAAGAACTTTTGTTAAACGAGGAGTTCCAGTCATTGATAAATTTTACCATTAATGAGATGTACTCTCAGACTCAGATCTTTGTGTTTAGATAAAAGTGGTTTGAGGTAAGACTAAGACATTCATGAATCATCATCATTGTCAGAGCCTTATCCCAACTATTTGGAGTCGATACACGAATCATGTTCTACCATTCTGCTCTATCAAGGGTCATACCCTCAGTAAGACCATAAGTCCCCCCCATCTTTTCTAACTACTTCCATCTCTATCCTTTTGGGTATTCCCCTTGCCTTTTTAGAGCCTTCCACTTGAACCAAATCACTTATCACCTGTTGAAGCCACACCTAAGTTCTCTCGAATGTAGCCGGCATAGAGTGTTGCTTATAGGAAACACTCTAGCATGATTCAAGATTCATGAAAATTTACAGCAAAGTTTTAAGTTAGCTGCCTACCTAACACAACCCCCCTCCTTTACCCGGCCTTAGGACCGGCATGACCGCAAAGGGCCATCGAATTAGTTGATATATCCATGAATGATTTAAAAAAAAAATTACAATTTGATTCCTCTCCACATGATATGTTGACATTAAATTCTATTTTATATTTGCTTTTATAATCCCAAATAAAAAGAGTTACTCCCTTATCTGTCATGTGTAGCATCTTTCTTCAAAATATCTGACTCCAGAGTTTAGTGAGAGCAACACCATCTCCATACAGACCTCGCCACCTTCATCATTTCCCTAGAAAAGAAATATAACTTCGCATGCCCACTAACATTTTATGAAAACCCCACGAGATAAGGGATAACTTAGCATGTACCACACCTGCATATTAAAAATCCGTGACTGGCCTTTCCCTGCTATACAATCCAAATGGACATTTGGAAGAAATCTTGGATAAATGTAAAACAGATACAAAAGAAAAAATGAAACATACCGGCTCTAAGCCAATAGACCAAGAAAAATGACACACCCTCCTTTCTCTCTCTCCAACCATTGTTATCCCTCTTATACTTACTCTGCTGAAATAGAGATATTTGTGGCTTGTGAACACAGATCTAGAGAGACAGATAGATTTGGCGCTTGTAGCAGGCAAATCTAGTGATAAATAGGTTTGTGGCTCTTGGAGGGTGGGTCTAGAGAGAGATAAACTTATTCCTTGGTTCCAGTCCTATGTAAACTCCTCTGTCTTAGCTTAGAGCTCAGATTTGTACAACAATGGAGATGGTTCTAGTTCACGTTAAGAAATAATCTTCTTCGAGCATCATTAAAATTGCAGCTAGGGCTTTGGAGCTAGAGAGAGATAAGGTTTTTATTATGAAACACAGAGCTCAAACTGGAGATTGCCATAGAGAGAGAGAGAGATGCCTAGATGGGTGAGCTACGGAAGCGAGATGGCAATCAGATGAGAGCCAATTGCCCAGGCCTCTCTTCACTTCTGTGACAATTTCACTCAAGCCATCCAAACTATCCATTTAGATCAAACGGAAGGGAAAGGCCAGTCAAATATTTAACATGTGGGTGGCACGATATAGTAAGTTTTCTCATTAGACAATGGTAGTCATAGGGTAATGTTTATATATTGCAAATAAAATATAAAAATTGATAGTACATTAGGAACTAATCACCTAAAGAGGCGCTTTGATTTGAAGGATTTTGGATAAAGATTTACCAAGCAATCGAGGGTTTCAAAGCCCCAACCAAAATAACTAAACCGGGGCAGACAAGGTCTAGGACCCCGTCAACGTATTTGAACTCATCCCTATCACAATCCTTTGACCTTACTAGAAATTACTAAAACTGTGCTCAAAGCTTTCTCACTCAATAATCCCCTAGAATCTTTAAAACACATGCTAAAATGCATAAAGGTCAGGAATCTCATCCTATGGCAAGTTTAAGGAACCGTATGGGCACATAGGATTTTAGCCATAGAATTATTTTCTCTTAAAACCGTTAAAGTATTATAGGTGTACCAGCTCAGCACACCATATTCATAGGTGGTTACTTTTTGGAACACCACTTGTCCCCAAAATGCCACTATGACACCCCTCACCACAGAAAAAAAAAAAAGAAAGGGAAAATAAAAAAAACTATTGTTTGTCTTTGGAAAATAGAGAAACTTTTGATATGACTATGAGCATTTAACACTACAATAATTCATGATGGCCTATAAAGATATATAAAGCTATTTCCTTGATATGACTAATAAGATATTCAAATGAAGTCTAGAGCTGTGTCTTTGGCCTCTCATCATAGAGAATCCCAATAGATTCCTATAATAGCACTTAACAAGGAACCTCTTAATACCTTACCAACTAAAGTTGAAAATAGACCCAGACTTCTCGTATGATACACAGTGAGAAAACTACACAAGCCCCTCTAAAAGACAAGAGCCTCTCCAGTCCAACCCACAAAAGCAACCCTCACCAAGTTTCCCACCTTTTTGGCAATGACCAGTCTATATTACATGTTACGTAACAATGCCATTCAAGTTTGCTATCTCTAAAAGGTCTCCTACGTCAATATTTATGGTACTCAAACAGCAAGCCCACTCTCCTTTTTTGTATCAATAACCCTTATCAGTTTCCATAGGTTTTCCGTTTCTTCAAGACTTGCAATACCCTCAACACCTAGATGGATAAGAGGGATTCTCTCATTCATATTACTATACACCTCCTTATTCTATAATTAACTTTGGACCAGTTTACGGCCTCATTTGCACCATAAACCTATGCAGATACACCTTAAAATCTATTTTCTTTATTTATTGAGGACCCCAAAACACTTAAGACACCTGCAAATTGATCTCTACAACAAAAATGGATTTGGAGAGCCAAAAAAGCACCATAATTTGATTGATCCACTGTCAGTTAAAGAGGACATATCAGACTTTGAGATGCAGGCGAGATGGATGATCTTTTTCAGAGTTCCACATCCAGCCAGGGGATTATTTTGGAGCTTTTTGGATCCTCACCGATTCAAAAGCATGGGTAATGGCATGCAGCCCGATAGATTACTAGGTCATTCTCCTTTGACCACAAGAGGTTGGGCTTTCATAACAACTTATATATGGAGCACTCCTCAATTACTATTTCTAACCAGTTAACCACCATTGCTAGAAACAAAAACATGGGACAATATATTTATTTAGAAATGGTTCAAAGCCCAAAGGGCAATGATTAATCACGAATAACTCATCTGATTCAATTTCCTTTGGATCAAAGCTCTAAAATAAGAGAAAATAGAAATTATTTACATGACAATGACTTTACCTGAAATCTAAATGTCGAAGAAGTTTCGGTCAAAGAACTCTAGAAATCATGCTACAAATGCCCTAAAGGAAATTGCTACAAAGAAAATTAATAGAAATTGAGATAGAAAATGGGAGAAAACTGATATGTCCCTCCAATTACTACCTCAGAAATAATAATAGAAAAATCAAAATAAAAGCCAGCAACTTACATAAAAATGCACCAAAACAGAGAAAATGTGTCTTATTTATGATGACCGATAGTTATAACTAAACAAAAATGCAGCGAAAATAATTTTTTTTTTTTTAAAAAAAAAAAGGATGAATCCCACATAGCATTTTCTCAATACATAATCCCAGAAATGAGATGGTCAATATAAATATGGAAAATGGAAGAAATCCCACAAAAACTCATCCATTGTATCCCCTTTCGGGACCAAAAACAGAAGTGGAAGAAAATGGGGCAACAAAAGATCAAACTCATCACCACACATCGCCAATTCTCAGCAAAAGCAGATCACCCAACAAAAGAGACCAAAATCAAGCAAGTCTTCACAAAACATAAAATTAAAATTAAAAAGAAATAAACTCTATTCGTTACTCCATGATAGAAATCCAAACACTTGCAATCAGATCAAAATATCGCGCCATCAAATCACATCCAAAAATTTGAAATAAAAAAAAAGGGTTGAACAAAATCAATGCGAAACTAAAACAGAAATGATCGAAATTGACATGGATAAAATACCTTTTGAGCAGCTTCAGAAGCGAGTAGAAATTCTTCATTGATGGCAAGAGATCTTTTCTCGATAGTAGATCTGAGGTTTCTCCTTGCAAGCTGGTTGTTTTGGACGTAGAAAGTAGAGAGAGCATTAAGAGAATCGAGCAATTCAGGAGTATCAGTTCTGCATTCTAATACCTTCTTCAGCTTCCTGGAAAGACCAGGCGCTAGGGTCACTGCCATTCTCTCTATCTGCCAAACCCACTGCAGCTTCTTCTATTTCGTCACTTCCTATTTCTCTCTCTCTCTAAGTAACAGCAACTGCCCCTACTGTAATTCTTCTCTCTCTCTGTACTTTCCTTTAATCCCCATTCCTCACTCTGTTGAAACCTCCCAAAACAGAGCAATAGCATGTTCCAGTCGCCACAAAGAGGAATGGTAAATTACAGATAACCCCCACATTCTCCTTTCTATTGGAAAAGGGCACAGCTACCATCAGTCTATGTAGAAATGAGTCACCTCTTAAAATTCGTGAATATAAAAAAAAAAATAAACCTTGCAAATTAGAAGGACCCGGTTCCTATGCCGGCAGCCCGCAAAGTGGGCTTCGCAATAAACATATTTTTTAAAATATAATTTTATCCTAATTTTTAGAGAAAATACAATCTTTAATACGGAGATTATGAATACAAAAAAAATTTGAAAACTAGAAATAATAATTATATTAAAAAACATGGAAAAATTTTGTATAGAACCCTAACTCCTCGTATTATTTCATGGTATACCCTCTTTTCATTTTTCTGAAATGGAATAAAAAAATTTATTGGGGCTAATTCTTATGGTAAAAAAACAATAAAAGATGAAGATAAGATATGAGGGGGTACGGTAAAATCCTTAAGAAGTTTGAAAAATGGAAAAAGGTTCTAGTATGAAATAATACAAGGAATTAAGGTTCTATACAAAATTTTTCCAAAAAACATTTGAACAGTTGCTTCTTCTTTTCGACAAATGTTCGTAACTTTTATTGCTGACAAAGAAAATGAAATTACATCATTAGAGATAACAAGAGAAGGTAAAGAAGCATCACCCTTAGCCAAAGAATCTGCCAAAGAATTTGCTTCACGATACATATGGGTGAAAGAAACTACTAGATCCATAACCTGCAATCAAAAGGATCGAAGCTTCTTCTAGGGGACCTTCTCTTCTTTGTTACACCATCTAATAACATTTAAAGAATCCTTTTGAATCCAATAGTTTCTACTAAGATTCCTATCAATCAAGATTTTCACCCCACTCAGTAAAGCATTTAATTTAGCAAAATCAGCAGTTTTAACCCCAATCGGATCAACATAGGAGAATAGGATATTACCTGAGGAATCACGTAAAACACCACCAATCCCAGCTACACCTGGATTTTTCAGAGAGCTACCATCAAAATTTAGCTTCAAACTTCCACTAAGAGGCGCAATCCAAATACATCGTGGTCTATTTCTAACACTCCCAAGAAGGAAAAGGTTGCTTAGATTAGCCATAACATCAACCTTGGAGATGCCCCACCTCTCTTTTAGTAAAGACAGCCAAGACCAAATCAAAAAATTGATGTTATTTAATAATCTCTCAAAAGACAAAGAATTCCTTTCAAATGTCCTTCTATTTCTCTCCTTCTACACCTCTCAAAGAATGACACATTTTGCCATTTTCCAAATAATTTTTCCAGTCTTTGGCAAATGAAAAATAGAAAATTGTGATACTATCCCTGCAACCGAAGAGGGAAGTATCAAATTGATCCCGAGAATCCCAAAGAGCCAAAACCATATTCTTACCGTGAATGAGCAACGGATGAAGATGTGCGCACCAGACTCTCCATCTGCTTTGCAAAGAAGACAAACATTTGGTAAAAATTTCCTCTTTTGATCAGATTGTCAATAGTAGCCGCCAACCAAATAAATACCTGAATTTTATTTGGGATAGGTCATTTTCATATCTGAGAAATCTGAGGACAGGACCATCTCCAACTACCATGAAAGAACAAATTGTAATATAATTTAACAGAGAACATCCCATCACTCTTAATCTCCCAAATCATTTTATCATCTGCCTTCAACGAGATATAGACTTTATCTAGCATCTCCATCAAAGCACACCATTGGGAAAATGTTACATTGCTCAAATGATTATATGCCAAGGAGATATTCCATGATGTAAGATAGCCCCTTCGTTCAACCACTCACTAACTTTCAGATCAAGTCGGGTGACTATCCCTTCTAAATTCAAGGAAAATCGATTTCAATGGATAGTCTCCCATCCATTTGTGATGCCATAAAGATACATACCTATCATCACCTAAGTTCCACCTAAAGTATCCTGACACCATGGGACAATTACACTTGTTTTTAGATAGACCACCTATTTGCATTCATTTTAAGATGGATGCTTTATACCTCTAGACCACATATTGTAGAAATGTTGTCTAGCCCATATGAAACAATTTTTCAAATTAGAAACAATAATTATATTAAGAAAACATTTGGACCGTTAGTTTCAATTGATTTTAGATGGACCACATATTTGCATTTTATACCTTGGGGGACCGCATATTGTAGAAGTCCAGCCCGTGTGATACATTTTTGCATAAGAAAAAAAAGGTGTGGTGTGTACAGAGTCAAAGCTCTAAACAATTAAACTATATAAATTTTTTTAGCTATAAAATTTTTAAAAAATTATGTATATATCTATCGGGCAAGTTGTCTTGCTTCCCCTAAAGCATAAACCTTATATACTTCCCCTTATCCAACCTTTCATTCTGAATGGATGGCTAAGATTACCTCAATCACAATCTCACGTCTATACACCATTTTATTTTTAAACTTTTTTTTATAAACTATTTTGACACCAAAATTTGGACGTCCAATCCTCTATTAAATTCGCATAGCAAAAAATATATATAAAAATATTTTCAATAAAATAAAAGGACCAAAATACCCTTAAAAGATTCAAGAGGTATTTTAGTTATTATATTTTATCAAAAAATTATTTTTAATATTTTTTATAGGTGCACCCCAATAAGAAGATGACACGTACCAAATTTCACATATATGAAATTTGAATTAAAAAAACCAAAAATAAAATACTTTGAGACGTCAGATCTAAGATCAAATGGTGAGTGACTCTCTTGATCAAAATTTGACGGCTTGATGGTAGGGGAAGCATAGATCTTCTATGATGTAGGGGAAGTATAGAAACCTTCCCCATATCTATTATATTTAGGACCTGGTTTTTATGTGGCCAAGCTCGCATATGTAAAAATGCGGGCCTATTAACAAATCTATTTTTGAGATGGATTTTTG